TGGTGAGGATGATGGCAGTTTGTGGAAAAAGATGGTGACTGCGAAGTATGGATATGATCCGAATTCGCTGTTACCGAAAAAAGTTCGAAGTCAAAATTCCTCTTGGATTTGGCGAAATATCATCGCACCGGCGTCTTCAAATGGGGATATGATTCAGTAAAATATAAATGTGTGATGGGAAACGAGAATAAAATCGATTTTTGGTTTGACCATTGGATGGAAGTGCTTTCTTTAAAAGATCCTTTTCCTAGAATTTTTGGGATCACGGTCCAAAAGTTCGGCAAAGTTAGTGATTTTGGGTGTTGGAAAAATGGAATCTGGGAATGAAAGAGAGTAGAAGACCGTTATTTGATTGGGAGGTGGCTTTGTGGGATGAATTCCTCCAGGTTATTAAGAGAGCTATTAGAGTTGTTCTTGGAGTGGATAGATTTAAGTGGTTTGGCTCGTCTAATGGTGTATACTCGCCAAAAAGCTTTTGTTTGCAGGTTACTTGCGATTGAGTTTTAGAGGATCCTGTCTGGAAACTTGTTTGGGTTAAATTTGTTCCACCCAAAGTTGCAACCTCTGCTTGGAAGGCTGTTCATCAAAGATTGCCTGTTAATCAAGAACTTTTTAAGCGTGGAATCCCTTTGCCTGAGAAATCCCTTTGTGTTTTGTGTAAAACGAACCGGAATCAATAATACACACCTTGTGCCATTGCGATATTGTATGGAAAGTCTGCAGAGATGGTGCAATGTATGGAAGATTAATTTTGTTTTTCCCGAAAATGTGAAATCGCTGCTTGAGGTATGGTACAGTCAAAGGGTGAGACGAGAGCTTCGGTCTATTTGGATTTTGGGATTCTTTGGTCTCATCTGGAATTTCTGGCTTCGTAGGAACGAAGCACTGTTCAAGAATTGTGTGTTTTCGGTGGAGAGAATTTTTGAACTAGCTTTGTCAAGGATAGGAGAATGGGCTAATTGTAATTGGCGGATGTTAATTCCTTCCGTTCAAGACTTTGTTAGGTGTCAGAGTGCGACCTTTCATGGAGATAGATGATCGTTGTGTTTTACTGGTTGTAGGGTATTTCTTGCCTGCTGTTTTGGGTGGTCGCCGTTCCTCTGTTAATGTCCGTTGTGGTTTGTTTTCTGCCCTATTATATGAATCCTAGAGGTTCTTACCTTCAGTATTGGTTGAGGGATGTCTCATTATTGCTGACCGTTATAGTTTGAATTTTGTTTCGGTGGGGTGAATTTTCTGAGTATCTTGCTGGGTGTTCCTAGTGGTTTTAGTTGTTGTGAGTATGACTTTGTTTTTCTTTTCTTTGTTTGGGTTTTGTTTATTGTATGAGGGAGGTTGTATATCTTATTGTAGTGTTCCTTTTAGTTAATTGTGGTTTGTGGTAGGTATGATTTGTTGGATGCGATTGGTTGTCCTGGTACGTTATGTCTGCAATCTGCTTTCCGTCATTGGTGCGATTCCTGGTAGGCTGCTGCTATTGTTCCTTAAATTTGGTGAGTTGTGGTATGGTCATGCGGGTTGTTATGTTAGGTTAGCGTGGCGTCAGCTGGGGGACTAATGGGGTTTCGCAGTTGCTCTTCGCTGTTCTTCATTGCTGCTCGTGTCATTGGTTTTCCTGTTCTATTGCAGCAGCCTGTTTGTGTGAAGGCAGCATATTTGTTATAGTGTATCGATGATGCCTTGCTCTACTGTATGTAATTTTTCACTCCAAGACGCACTTTTCCTCCATTTAGAATTAGAGAGATTTTTAACAAGACCGGTTTGGACCATCGATATATTTAGGGATAATTGTAATAATGTCTATCGATATATATTTTTCCAATTAAATCCTTATTTTTATTAAATAAAAATAATATTTTTAAATAAATATATTATTTCAGTTCAGGTCGAATTTTGAAATTTATCTCAAAAAGTCAGATCAGATTCGAGTCGAGTGAATGATGTATATTTTTCAGATCGAATAAAATTTGAGTGGAGAATGTATAAATTTTAGATTGGATCGGATTGATAAGAAATAGGACCCATATCCCTCCCTAGTCTCAATACCGTTAGCTTTGTTATCATTTGGACCATCACAAATTTGTTTTATATACACTTTTTCCCCCTTTTTATTTGTGGTGGTAGGAGATACCAGATAACCCAATATCTACATTAAATTGTTGCATTTTGAGCCATAAAGAATAAAAGCTTGATTTATAATATTATTATTTTGGTGTAATTATAGGTATATAAGTTATTGATTAATTAGTTCATATTTGATCGAATAATTCAAATTAAATTCCGTATGTGTTTATTATAAAAATAATTCTCTTAGTTTAATTTATTTTATTTACAACGTCGATATTTGAATTTAAAAATTATTTACATAAATTAAGGTCTCATTATGTTAAATCAATTGATTATTATTATTATTATTATTATCATTATTATTATTTCATACACTAATTATTGATATACAATTTAGAACAATAATGTGTCGAGTTAGATTTTAAATCCGTCTGAGTATTATACTCTTTATTTGACACTCAAGTCAACTCTAGTTTAGGGAAGTTTTATCTAATATGAAATTCGACCTGAATTTGAGATCACAACTCGTATTTGATTGAATTTAAAAATTATTTTTATTCGATAAAATAATTACCTAATTGAAAAAAAATAAGAGAGATCAATTATCTATTTCTATATATATATATATATATAGAGGACAATTGTAAATTATTTTGGATTGAGTATTTTTCATCATAAACTATAAATTCAATATATTCCTATCTCATTCTCATCATTCACAAAAATTGACTTGAATCAATCCTAAATTAAAAAAAATGGCCTTATAAAATCAAATCTGATTGAAACATATCAAATTCGAATGATTTTACAAAATTTTATATATTATTAATTATTTTAATGATATGCTATTTTATCATGTTACTAACTTTGCGTAAAATTATATGTAAAGAAAAAAAAACTTTAAACCAAAAAAGAAAAAAAGCAACAAATTGCCACTTGCATTCCAAAGCTGGAACTGGCCTCAAGCTTTTAAGCTTTGGAAATGGGCATGCCCATGTCCATGACCTTAGCCTTATCTTTACATACAATATATATATATATATATATATATATAATTGTTATTATTTTTTTTGTCCTCTTGATTCTAATGATTTTTTGTATACACAAAAATTTAAACTTAAAATTTTACTTAAGCGATATTAATTTTTTATTCATTTTTAAGCCCGCAGATAGTTTTAAATACACAATAATAGTATAAAATTAATAAATGCAAAAAGATATGGCACAACCGTATTTAACATTTAATATACCCATTATATTATATTCAAGTGTAGTAGGTACAGTAAATAAATTTAATATTAATTCAAATTGTAAGTTAATTTTTTATTTACAAGTATAAATTATTTTAATTGAGTTGAGTTATATTTTTTATTTAATTATAATTAGTTTTTTATTTTATTTTTTATAATACAAAATAAATTGTGCATGTTAATTAATGAAAAGATTAAAAATGTTATATAAAAATATTTAAAAAGTTAGAATCGATGAACCAAGTCAATCTAGATCGATAGAATTTAGTTTGAGTTTTAAGAATAAAAATATTGTATCGTATAAATATATTATATTTTAATAGAGGTAGGATTCCTTGACACATGGTAAAAATTTTAAGATTTATATATTTTTTTCTGATCCTTAAGTTAATAAAAAGGGATAGCTAAGATTAATAGTGGGAGATGATAAGACTTATGGGTTGTTTGTTTACTTCAGAATGATTAAGTGTTGAATGATTCAGAGGCTCTGGATGAATTAGCTCTGAATGTGACATGTTGTTTGTTTACTGGCTCTGAATCATTCAGAATGTATTTCTGTGTTGAATCATTCAACATTGTTTTTGATGAATCAGTCAACACTAAATCATTCAAAGGTGCGAAACAAACGAGTTGAATGATGAACGGTTCAGCATTCAACGCTGAATAATTCCATTAAGAGGTAAACAAACAACCCCTTAAATAAAAAGTAAGTGGGTTATACTCAATGTAAAAGCTCTAATCTAAATCATTAAACTTAATTAATTTAACGGTCTAAAAAATATAAAAAAAAGATAAATATCACTAAAAATTGAAAGATTTTATAGTTATATGACTAAATAGAAATATTCTAAAATATGAGTGATTTAAAAGGTAGTTTATCAAATAAATTTCTGAAAATTATAGATTGAAGAAAAGCTTCGACCAAAGGGAAAGGCCAAAATAGTTCTAAAAGGCGTGTACGCAATGAGCGTGGAAAAACGCGCGAAGATGATTGGAGCGCAAGGTAAAGAATCATATCTTTGATAGGCTAATACGCACCACGTGCACCGGTAGCGCGCGAGAATTAAACACGTCTTGTCAATTTGTGTATTAAATGATCTGGTCTAAACATAAGTTTTTCTTTCAGGTTTAATTCTAAATTTTATACTTATATTTTACGAAACACGACAATTTAATCCTTTACTAATTCGTTCATCGCACTTTACAAAAATTAAGGAATTATTCCAATTATTGGTAAATTTGGCTTTCTGATTTAATTTATGATAATTAATCCTACTCCTTTAATTTATGATAATTTGATCCCATGTTTCATAAAAATTGAGATCTTAGTCTAATTGTTAATAAACACATGAATTTGAACTATTGATTTTTATTAATTTATGACGTTTACATTAATGAACTATTATTTTTATGTTAACTATCTTGTATAAATTGTTAATCTATTAATATTTATATGTCACAAAAAATTTGAAAATATTACCCACTTTGATTAATTTATCGGTTTTTATAAAAATAACAAGGATCAACCCGTTATAAATTAAAATAAAGATTCTAATTACATTATTTTTATAAAATGAGGATGAAATTCAAAGTTTAACCTTTCTTTTTGAGAAACATTGTTGATGATAAATGGGAAAAAGGAAAAAGCTGTTGCCTTTTGAGTATCGACGAAAGCTTCGAGAGAGAGAGTTGTGAAAATCTTCATTACCTTATCAATGCTTTGAATTTGATTGGTTTGTGGGAAAAACGAAAGAAAAAGAAATGGAAACGCCGCCGGCGGAGGAGCTTTTGAGGAAGATTCAAGAACTAGAAGTGGGGCATGCGAATCTCAAGCAAGAAATGTGCAGATTGAAACAACCCGGTGGTGAGTCAAAGCTCAACACAACTCGTCAAAGATCCCACTCTAGTTCCCCTCAGCGCCGCCGATTCCTCGGGAACTCGGCGGCGGCGGCTGCTTATCGGAAGAAAGCTTCGGGTCCTATTCGGCATTCTTCGCCGTTGCAAAGAGAGAGCAGTAGAAATGACACCTTAAATGGAAGCAACGGCGGCGGTGGGGCGGGCAGCGAAGGAGGAAAAACTGAGAATACTGGACCAGCTGCCATTAATTTCACTAACAACCAGTATTTAAAGATATTACAGTCCATGGGTCAATCTGTTCATATATTTGATCTTACTGGCCGTATAATTTATTGGTAAGTGAACCAAAAAGGGGTTTTCTGTTCTTGAATTATTCAGTTCCAAATTCGTCCCCCCCTAAATTTACTTATTCAGAATCTGATTCAATCTTCAAGCATTATCATTTTCTTGAATTTGGGTGTTCTTTTAAATTTTGTGTATGTTTTGCAGGAACCGGGCTGCTGAGAAACTTTATGGTTATACAGCTGCAGAAGCTTTAGGGCAAGATGCCATTGAGCTTCTTGTTGATCCTAGGGACTTTTCTGCAGCTCAGGATATAGTTCATCGGGTTATAATGGGGGAGAGTTGGACCGGGCAGTTTCCGGTTAGGAATAAAACCGGGGAGCGGTTTCCGGCTATTGCGACTTATACTCCGTTTTATGACGATGATGGTTCGTTGGTCGGAATCATTTGTGTTTCCACTGATTCTAGGCCTTTTCAAGGCATGAAAGTTGCATTAGCAGCTGAAAGACAAGTCGAAGGAGAGTCTGCGTTTAGCCGGGGTAAAAATGCAGTCTCGGCTAAACTCGGTCTTGATCCTCAGCAGCCTTTGCAAACTGCAATTGCATCGAAAATAACGAATTTGGTATGATTTCATTAAGTTTTGTACGTGTTGTGGTTGGATTTTTGTTTGTTTATATTTACTTTTGTTGTAGTTTGGCATTTTATTTAATTGTTGAGGATCACGAATGCAGGCGTCCAAGGTGAGCAACAAAGTGAAGTCGAAAATTAGAACGGGTGAGAATTGTTCTGATCATGAAGGGGCAAGCGGAGATAGTCATTATCCCAATCATGGTTTGTCAGATGCAGTTCTTTCTGATCATAAAGAAGATGCAATTTCCAGTGGAGCCAGTACACCTAGGGGAGATGTACACCCTTCTGCATTTGGTGTATTTTCGCCTTTCGACGAGAAGTCCCCGGTGAAAACCTCTAGAGATTCCGGTGACGAGAGTGAAGGAAAACCTGCAATCCAAAAGATTATGAACATAATGGGTAAGAAAGGGATATCATGGCCTTGGAAAGGGAATGATCGAGAAGGATCAGAGTCTAGGACTACACGTTTCGTGCGGCATTGGTTGGGTGACGATCAAGAGAACGAAACGTTTCAACCAAAGAACCTATATTCTGGTACGAAATCTGAAGTCCATATTAATGAGAACAATAGACCCGGCAATAATGAGGCATCAGGTTACTGGTCATCTGTTAATGTTAACAGCACAAGCAGTGCCAGCAGCTGTGATAGTATCGGCAGTGGTGCTGTTAATAGAGTCGATATGGACACTGACTGTTTAGATTACGAAATCCTGTGGGAAGACTTGACAATTGGAGAGCAAATTGGGCAAGGTAATTTTCTTTCGAGTTCAACGAGGAGACATGAAGGAATAGTGAACTTGTTAATAACTAGGTTACTAGGGCCATTACTTTATGCTTGAAACTTTAACACTGACTCTACTTTCTTTGCCCTTTTTGGATGTGTAACATCAAAGCACATGAATGAAAAGCCGAATGTCCGCTAGACGGTCATGTCAATGGCCGGAGATTACTTTGTATTTGTTCTTTTGTGTTTATTTCTCTGAGACGTTTATCTTAAACATATTTTGTTTTAACACTTTATGTTCCTCTGTTTTCGTCGCAGGTTCTTGTGGAACCGTGTATCATGGTCTGTGGTATGGATCGGTATGTTCTCCTGCTCCTTTCAATGCCTTCACATTTGAGAGAATTTACAATCACATTATAGATGAATGTATATTGAAGTTTTGGGGTATGATGAACCATGATTTGCTTTAGCCTTTTTGCATCTATTCCGTAAATAGAGTTTGCATAAAATGTAAAGATGGTGACTTGAATTCCCATCGGCCGATAGTCACACTTGTGGCTAATTCGTGCATTTCGATGCACAAGTCCTTGTACTCTTTAGTTATTTATTCGTATTGAATGACAAATGGTTGGGAACATGAAAAAAAATGTAATCATTTTATTATTTTTCGTTTGAATAAACCGTATTCATGTCGATGCAGGATGTTGCCGTCAAGGTGTTCTCGAAGCAGGAATATTCAGATGATGTGATACTTTCCTTTAGACAGGAGGTGTGCTATTACTTTTCTCTCGTTTACGTATTTAACCGTATGTTGCATTGCTATTTGTTTTGAGTATCTTTCTTCCTCTTCCGAATGGTGCTCATAGTTTTGCTTTTGCTTTGAAGGTATCTCTGATGAAAAGACTTAGGCATCCAAATGTTCTGTTGTTCATGGGAGCTGTTACTTCACCTCAACGTCTCTGTATTGTCACAGAGTTCCTTCCACGGTTCGATCTCTTCTTCCTTTCTGAATTTTCTTTTATCCTCGAACTCTTTTTATCGTAAATTTCACATTGCATATCTATCGCTCTGCGGAACAAGTTTTTTCCCCTTCTAATAGTTCATGTTTAGTTTACTTCTAGGCTTGGTGAATGCTTATATTTATGTTTCTTATGCAGTGGAAGTTTGTTTCGCTTACTACAGAGAAATACTACCAAGTTAGAATGGAGACGGCGTGTTCATATGGCTTTGGATATTGTGAGTATCAAGTAGATTTAAACGTTTTTGTTTTTTCAATTTCACGATAATTCTCCAATCGCCATGTCTGCAGCTGTTTTTGTTTCATCCTTGCATGCTGCATTACTGGATTGGCCCTTCCCTGTGTCAATTCATCTTATTATTTGAACTTTTACAGGCCCGGGGAATGAATTATCTTCATCATTGCAATCCACCTATCATTCATCGTGATTTAAAGTCGTCAAATCTCCTAGTCGATAAGAATTGGACCGTGAAGGTTTGCCTCTAGTTATGTTCATCTTTATTTTTTTAATGCAAATCCTGTTTTAGTTTGCTTCAGGGTTTCGAGGATAACTTCCATTTACTTGAGGTAAACAGGTTGGCGATTTCGGTTTGTCGCGTCTCAAGCATGAAACATATCTCACAACAAAAACCGGAAAAGGAACTGTATTTACCGAAAACTTCATTAGCTTCATCGATTCAATATAACGAGTCTACATCATTTTGTGAGTATGTTGGTTGACTTATAAAATACCATTTCTTTTTGTAGCCTCAATGGATGGCACCGGAAGTTCTTCGAAATGAACCCTCGGACGAGAAGTATGTCCTTCCTCTAAATCGTAGCCCCCTTCGTATCATTCACCTTTTCTCACTGATGACTTCGCATTTCTTGTTCTTCATACGGAAACGCTTAGGTCCGATGTATATAGTTTTGGAGTCATTTTATGGGAGCTTGCTACCGAGAAGATACCATGGGATAATCTCAACTCAATGCAGGTATAGTTTTCGTAAAAAAGATTTAACTCGTTCATCTTGTGATTCTCGGCATATACGAACGAAAGTTAGCTTTAGTATATTTGCAGGTGATCGGAGCTGTGGGGTTCATGAATCAACGGCTAGATATTCCGAAGGAAGTAGATCCAAGGTGGTCTTCTATAATCGAAAGTTGTTGGCAAAGGTGCTTTTCTCCTTATAATGTTTAATTCCGTTAATTTTTGCGGATCCGACGCTAAAAGTTTAGCTGTAGTTTCCGAGTACGATATGATGGATCGAGTGTCATATGGAGTTCTCGAGCATGCCATTATGACTCGGAGTGCAACTTTGGATTTGCATTATCTTAGCTAAATTGCTCTATCATCTTTTGTTATTAACTGATACATGGAACTACAACTTTTGCAACGCAGCGATCCACAATGCCGGCCAACGTTCCAGGATCTACTGGAAAAGCTTAGAGATCTTCAAAGACAGTACACGATCCAATTTCAGCAAATTCGTAATTTGGCCGGAGATGGCTCTCGAAAGGATTCTTGATCGAACGTATGTGTTGTTACCAGTTCTCCTTCAAGCAAAAGCTGTAAAGCACAGGCAAGGTGGTAGATCTTTTGCCAACATTTACACCCATAGTTGTTCAGTCGACGGCTTCAACTGTTACGCTGCACCAGCACGGCAAAACTCGGGCCAAAAGACCAATAAAAAAGGCATATGTTGGCACCATGTGAGTTTTAATTTGCCATAGTTTAGTTGTTGAGATTATTGTTTATATAATCCGACATCATGAAAATCTGTTGATGGTGCTGTGTGATTAGGTTCATGTTAGGACCACTAAGTGAAAATGTACATAATACCGAAAGAAAACAAAATCTATATTGTAGTAATAGAGTGAGTGAAGACATCATTTGTCTTGCATTGCTTATTATAATTCCATTGTTTATCGAAATTCTCTAACTTTTGAAGAATACAGGGACTGGAGGCATAATTAAACCTTAATTTAAAAGCTCATAAATGTGAGTGGAAATTTGAGTCAATACTGACTGTAAATCGTTTAAAAGAACAAACATGAAATCCAATTCATTACCACTTTTTCCCTTTGTTTTAATGTTATATTTGTCCTTTCCTGTTTTGTTCACTTCAAAAACATTATTAACATTAGCTTAAACGACACCACATTATTGACAGTGGAGGTTCCACAACATTGGCAGTGGATGTTACACCACCCATGGCGGCCGAACTATAAAATTTTGCATTTAATTGTTTTACTAATCTAACGTGATTATAAAATAATAATTAGATGCTTTATTGATTTTTTGATAATATATATATATATAATGCAAACGTAATTGTTTGAACTCAAAATATCTAGAGAGTCTTTTACTAATGTGTTACTCGGTGGTTTCAAAGATTTTGGGTATAAAAACTATAATATTAATACCTAGAATGTATCTGTCAAATGTATGTTTGATACGAGTATGATCAATTTTTCAAATATTATTATATATTCAATGTCTGGATATGAATATTTGGGGGAAAAAACAACAATAACAATTAGGGATATACATGGGTTGGGTAGGGTAGGATTTTTTGTCAATCCAACTCCACCAAAAAATTATATACCCTCCACCCGAACTCGACCCGACCTGAAAATATACACCCTCCTCTTGAACTCGATTCGACCTGATATTTTGAGATAAAATCTTAATCTGACCCGACTCGACCCGAAATAATATATTTATTAAAAAAATATTATTTTTATTCAATAAAAATATGGATTTAATTGAAAAATAATAATATAGAAAGAGACATTATTACAATTATTCCTAAATATAAAGGAAAAATTATATATTTTTCTATGGTCAAGTCGGGTCGAGCATTTTTACCATAAATCCAAACTCAACATGACCCAAACACAACCTCTAAAATACTCGATCCGATCAAGTCGAATTAGAACTCGTTGAATTGGGATCTCATGCTCATCCCTAACAACATTATATTCAACAATTAATTGAACTCAAACCAATAATTCAAAACACATTTAAAACCAATTCAATAAATAAATCCGAATCGATCTTGAAGTCGTCGTATGGGATGAGAATACACGTTAATTGACGTTTTATATTAAAGTCTATTCCTACATTGTCCAGTAGTGTTCAAATCATCACCGTCATCATTGTCCAATATTTTTTTTCCGATTATCGTTAAAATTAAACAATTCAATTATGAAAAATTCTCAAAGGGATTTTAAACATCGATATTCACCACTAATTTTATAAGCTAAAATTTTAATAATGGTTGGTTCAAGTGGTAAGTAATTTGATTTCGCTTAAACAAGATTTTAAGTTCGAGTAATTGTGTATGCAAGAAATCCCTGTTGGAGACTCGCCCACCAAAATCAGGTGTGCGACGTAGGTCGATCCGGATTAGTTAAGGCGAAGCCTTCGAAATGGACACTAAACTTCAAAAAAATAATCATCTTAGAAATCAAACTTCAAAAAGTTACATAATAGACATTAAACTTTAGATCTTGTTACAAAATGGACATAACACTATTATCTATCATTAAAGAGGTGATAACATGATAAATTAATAAAAATATCTCATTTGCCTTTAATTGTAACAAAATTTTATTTTACTATTAATTTTAATTAAAATAATTTTTATTATGCTCATTAAATTGAAAATAAAATAGATATGAATATATTAAATATTAGTTTTTAGTGTCACATTATAAATATTGAATTTATACCATAAAAATTACTTGATACATTATTAAAAGTTGAGGATTGATTCAATTATTTTTATTTAAGTTTGGGTGTATTTTTTTATTGATGTGATACTATAATTTTCTTGATCTATTTTTTAAAATTGTGTTTAAACTTCTTAAACAAAAGTCAATCAAATGCTTGGACAATATCGCTTAATAAAAAATAATTACATTTTTTGATAGTTCAGTTTTTGGATCTCAAAAATTATAAAATTTTAATTTTACAGTACAATCACGATTAAAAAATAATTAGATGAATGAATAAATTTCAAAAATTATAATTTTTAATTTTAAAAAAAATCATATATTTTTTATAAAAAGTTTCTAAATTTTCTAATTTATTTTTGAAATTATTACTTGCAAATATTGAAAAAGTTATTAGAATGAAATTTTAATTATAATTAAGGGGTAAAATGAGATATTTCCTATTAATTTAGAATGTCATGCCACACCCTTAACAATATTCACGATAGCTACTTATTTTTAAATAAAATCCAAAGTTTAATATTTATTTTATAACTTTTAAAATCCAATGAAAAATTAATTCATTTTAATAAATTTAATGACTATTTATAAATTTATCATATTTTAATGTATATTGGTGCACATCATAATGATGCATATCGATGTGTGTCATTTACTCTAGACTCATCCATTTAATTATATGAAAAAAAACAAAAGCGAATAGGTGTACAAAGTTGGGGAAAAAATAAGATAAAATATTAAGGGTTAAAAATGAATATGAGATTTAACTCGTAATTTTATAATTTTGATTTAAATATATGTATATCACATGTGAAAAAATATGAAAATATATATGTATATCGCAAATTATTATAGAAAACTATTTAAATTTAAATCAAGTTGTATCATAATATTATAAATATTTATAATTAAATTTAAATAAAAATTCAAACAATTCAATTTAACTCAAAAAAAAATTCAAACAAAATCTCAAATAACTCAATTTTGTTTTTTAATTTGAGTCAACTTAATTCGACCAAATACTCGTACGGTCACGCATATAAGAAGAGGGGTATGGAAAACTCTAGAATAATAAAAGGTCGCGGAAGAGTCTCATTCTCTGATTTTTATTATACAATATCTTCATGTGTGAGATATGACGACAAGTCGACGAGAGGTTTTACTGTGAGGTGATTAAAATACGGTTAAAAAATGACGTGACTGATTAAATAGGTGATTGATTAAAAACGCTACCGAAAATGTTATCAGTTTTCACCGGAAATATTATTATGTTAATAATAACTAGAAATGTTATCGATGTATGTAAAATGAGCCAAAAAATATTGACTTTAATAATTTAGGTTAATTACTAAAAACATTATCAACTGTAATAACATAACAAATTGCGTTTAAAATTTTATAAACGGTAAGAAAATAAGTAAATAACTTATTTTGTTATTAATTTTATCAACATATTAGGTAGCGCCTAATATGTTTATCAAAATTTGATCTGATGGGCCTTAGAAATCCAATGATAACAAAATAGATTAATTAATTATTTTTTTATTATACTATTAACATATTAGGTAGCGCCTAAAATGTTACCAAAGGTTAAGCTGATGGGGCATTAGAAATCTCACGATAACAAAATATGTTAATTACTTATTTTGTTATTATATTATCAACATATTAGATAGTGCCTAAAATGTTACCAAAGTTTAAGCTGATGTGGCATTAGAAATCTCACGATAACAAAATATGTTAATTACTTATTTTGTTATTATATTATCAACATATTAGGTAGCGCCTAAAATGTTACCAAAGTTTAAGCTGACGGAATCTTAGAAATCTCACAATAATAAAATAAGTCAATTACTTATTTTTTTTATTAATATTATTAACATATTAGGTAGCGCCTAAAAAATGTTACTAAAGGTTAAGCTGATGGGACGTTCGAAATCTCAAGATAACAAAATAGGTTAAATATTTATTTTGTTATAAATAAACATTAACATACTAGGTTGCGTCCAATAATATTATTTTGAATAAAGAAATAAGTTGCGATTTGGAGTATTAAAGTTGTGTTTAATGAAATTGGTAGCGATTTAATATATTACGTATCTTTGGATGGAAATTATTTTTAAAATAAATATCAATACTACTATGATCTAATGGTCGATACTCTAGCAAATATCGATATTGTTTTCTATGATGTTTGATATTTTAGCATTTTAGAAACTTGCTAATTTGAAAAAAAAATTGAAATGTTAAGATCGAAAGTTACTTATTTACAAAATTTCATTAAAATATCTTTGTAAAAATATTGATACTTAGTGTAGATGTATCAAAACTCTTATACTTCGTATCGATACTTAGTGTAGATGTATAAAAATTATTAATACCGATACTTAATGTATATGTATCGATATGTACTCAGAAAAATTATTAATACCCAATATCGATACTTTAGAATTTTAGATTTTTTACGATTGTTACCGAGACTTTAGCATTTGAAAAAGTTGATAAATGTTAAAATATCGATAATTGATATATGATGTATCAATTTTTTGAAAAAGTTAATGAACTCCACCCCCACATCAACCTACAAGTATCGATACTTTCAATTTTTTTTAAAAAATATTTTAAATGGTTAACTTGTAAATATTTTATCGTTTACATTATTATTATACCTTTAAATAATCCGGTAGGTAGTTTAACGTAATAGACAATGTCTATTTTATTTTAACCGGTTAAGTTGTAAATATTTTACTGTTTATATTAGTATTATATCTTTAAACAAACCGATAGGTAGTTTAACGTAATAGGTAGAGCTTATTTTATTTTAACCTGTTAAATTGTAAATATTTTACCGTTTATATTATTATTATACCTTTAAACAAACTAATAGATAGTTTAACGTAATAGGTAGCGCCTATTTTATTTTACTGTTTATTGTTATACCTTTAAACAGATCGATAGTTAGTTTAACGTATTATGTTGCGCCTATTTTATTTTAACCGGTTAAGTTGTAAATATTTTACCGTTTACATTATTATTATACCTTTAAACAAACCTGTAGCTAGTTTAACATAATAGGTAGCACCTATTTTATTTTACTGTTTACATTATTATTATAT